CCGCGGGCCCCTGCATGGCCAGGCTCGCCCCGCCCCAGGCGGCCCTGGGCTGTGCGCCAGTGGGCCTAGCTGGGCTGGGCCAGGCACGTGCGTCCTGCTGCCGCCAGCTCCGCACGCCCTCCCCTACGTGCTGGGCAGGGCCGCGCATGTGCCCTCCCCAAACCCGGGGCGCAATTGAACTGTCTGCCCAGGCCGCCAGAATGGCTTGGTCTGGCCCTGCCTCCCCCTCACTGCAGAGTAGTAGAGCCCAACTCCCACCCCACCAGATGCGCCTGGTGGGGGAATGCTCTCCCCACCCACAGAGAGGAATTTGCTCCTGCCAGTCAGCACTGACTCAGACCTGGCAGCAGGGCAGAAGAGAAGCTGCCCATTGCCCCAGAGCATGTCACTGACTCGGCGCAAGGGCAGGTCAGACTGCCTCTCCCAGGAATTTGCACCTTCACGCCTCAGTGCACAATGCCCAGGTTATGGAGATAACGTGGAGGAGGAGAAAGGAGAAGCATCCCCAGAGCCCCACCAAGCATGGTAGTGGGGCCATAGGCCTGACATTTTGTATTTCCAAATTTAGTGCTTTTAATTACGTACCTTCTGCATGTCCAGTCTGCACAATCTGGTGGCATGCAATGGAAAACATGCTCTATTTTCTTTTATAAGAAATGTTAGAAGAATTTTTTTCCAAATGTCATTTGCTACATTTGGGTTCAAGGAGTTTGGCTAGAATGGGTGAGCAGAGAGAAGAGGGAGGCAGTTGAGAGAGGATGGAGCAAGGGGGCAGGGCTTGGGTGGAGCAAAGGTGGAGTATGGGTAGAGTCACAGGTTCTGGAGCTTGCCTCCTCAAGGAGCAACTTTATCTACTACATGGGTCCCAATATGGAAAGGGGGACTTGAGGAGGAGGGAAGGATGCTGTTCAAGCCTTGACTACCATGGAAACAGTATCCAAGAGACAGGGAATGCCAGAACTTCGTTGTCAAAGCAACAGTATCCAATGACACAAAGCTGTTGGAGCTTGTGTATTTGGGGAATACCAGCTAGGTTACAAGAGATGCTGGATCTTGCTTACCATGGCAACGCAATAATAGAACATAAGACCATGCTGGTCAGACCAAAGGTATCCTGTCTTCTAGCAATGGTCAATGCCAAGTGTTTCTGAGGAAATGACCAGTCCAGGTAATCAAGTTATCCCTCCCCTGATGCCCATTTCCAATTTCTGAGAAACAGAGGCTAGGGAAATCATACCTGCCCATCCTGGTTAACATGGATAGATGTACTCTCCAAAAATTTAGGGTGATTTTTAATCCTATTAGTGTCTCGACCTTCACAGCAATCTCTGGCAAGATAAGAAAGGCTCCCAGCAAGGTCCCCAGTTCCTAATAAATTGTAACCCCCTCCTCCCTACATCCATGATTTAAGACCCTGCAGTTCTGCCTGTCTAACTGACCTGTGCATGGAATTGGAAGCATTTCAGAGAATGCTACCGTGAAGGTCTCAGATTTCAGTGTCTTACCTAGGCCTCCAGGACCTCTCTTACCTCTCCCTATGTCATTAGTATGTACCTGTACCACAGCCATTGGATCCTCCCCCTCTACACATAAGTCTGGCTACTAGTATTGGGATATCCTCAACCTTCACAATGGGATTTTTCTAACCCTGCCTCGTTTTCTCCCCCACCCAGGGAGAGCATACACTCCTCTGAATTTTCCCATCTTTCTGCGAGTGGTCAACTGCAGTGTTGCCAGTTTAGTCATCGGTTGGAATTCTGAACTGAGATGGAAACATTAATACACGATTTAAAAGCACATACAGTATAAAATACAAATGCCTGAAAATGCATACGTTTGAAATGTATGACAAAAGACTAGCTTCCTCACACAGCTGTTGCTTTTTATGGCAATGTCGGCACATTCATTTCAGTCATGTTAACCAACCTAATAATTTCAAATTATGATTTATAGGAAAGGTCTGAGTGACTGCTAGCGATAAGCCAGAGGTAGGAGGAAGGCTACAGGACCTTCTCTGCTGAGGTGTCCAGCAGACAGACCTGTTTCCCCCAAGGAGATCAGTTTTGGCAGCTAACTTGTTTCTGTGCGGTAACTCCAAGTCACACTTCCCCTTCTCACGAAGGCTTGTGGAAGCCCCTCAGCTACCAGCATGGAGGTTGACATGGTTCTCCAGAGCCCAACAGGGTTAATGAGGAAGAACAGCTTCTGAATGTGGCTTCAAATACAGGCTGATCTCCAGTTAGTAATTTGAACTGATGAATCAGGCCCATATGCAGCGGGGTACAAAGGGTGTGAGCGCACCCCTCCATGGATTCCCAAGTAAGCATCCTCCAGCCAGATGGTGGAAGACAGGAGTGGCGTGAGTGTGCTGCCTGAGCCTCCCTCCCCCATACTTCAACTGGCTGGAGGAAGGCTGGGGCTGATTTCCCTCAGGAAGGGGGAAAATCAGCCCAGCCTTCCCCGAGCCTGCTGAAGCATGGGGGAGAGAGTCTTGGGAAGCGCACTGTTCCTACCTTCCCCCGGCTGTCTGGAGCACGCTTACTTGGGGGACCTTGGATGGGGCACTTGCACCCTCGCAGTCCACATTTACAAAAAAAGCACACACCTCGCACAGAAATTCCTGCATACAGGCCTGGAAAGACACATCAGCTGCATCTGTGACAACCCACACCATAGATACATTCAATGCTTGTAAACTGAACCCCAAACAAATGGCTTCTTGTGACTTAACAGCTTCCCTCAGGCTGCACCGTGTCCCTCGAGCCGCAATATCCTGAAATGGAGGGAGGCTTCAGTCACTTGACTGTATCATCCAGGCAACACTGTCCTGCAAGGGAAGGTAGCCACGATGGTGTCAGAGAGAGGGCTTTGAATTTTTTTGACCATTGGATGTTTTTCCAGGAATTACTAGGAGGAGGTGGGATCCACCTAACAAACAGAGGGAAGATCATCTTTGCAGGCAGGCTTGCTAACCTAGAGAGGAGGCCTTTAAACTAGGTTATCTGAGGGTGGTGACCTAAACACTGAGGTAAGTAAGGAATTGGAATACTGGGAGGAAACATAAGGAGAAGGGGACAATAGGGGAAGGCTCCTGATTCATACTGAGAAAGTAGGGCAATTAACTAGTTATCTTGGGTGCCTGTATATGAACAGAAGAATAAGAATTGGAAGTCTGGCCACAGTTAAGGAACTATGGTGTGATTGGAACAACAGAGACTTGATGGGGTAATTCACATGACTGGAGCATAATTCAGAGACTTGATGGGGTAATTCACATGACTGGGTATAAGGAAGGACAGGCATGGGAGAAAAGGTGGAAGAGTTGCACTGTATGTAAGAGAGCAATAGGATTGTTCAGTGCTCCAATATGAAACTGGAGAAAAACCTGTTGCGAGTCCTTGGATTAAGATCTGAGTGAGAGCAACAAGAGTGAATTGGTGGTGTGCATCAGGATGACGAGGTAGACAAGTCTTTCTTCAGACAACTAACAGAAGCTTACAGATCACAGGCCCTAGTTCTCATGGGGGACTTCAATCACCCTGGCATCTGCTGGAAGAACAACACAGCTGTGCATAGACAAATGTAGGTTTGTGAAGAGCATTGAGGACAGCTTCCTTGTGCAAATACTGACAGGCGTCATGCTCCTCTTGACTTGCTTCTCACAAGCAGGGAAGAATTGGTAGGGAAAATAGAAAGTGGATGGCAGTCTGGGCAGAAGAGACCATGAGATGGTCGAATTTAGAATCTTGACAAAAGGAAGAAAGGATGCAGCAAAATTCAGACCCTGGATTTCATAAAGGCAGATTTTGATTCCCTCAGCGAACTGATGGGCAGGACCCTGAGAGGCCAATAGGAGGGAGAAAGGAGTCAAGGAGAGATGGCTATATTTTAAAAGAGATGGCTATATTTTAAAAAAGCCTTATTGAGGGCACAGTAACAAACCATTCAAATGTGAAGAAAGAATAGCAAATATGGCAAGGGACCAGCTTGGCTTAACAGAGAAATTTTGGTGAGCTTAATCACAAAAAAGAAGCGTACAAGAAGTGGAAATTTTGAGAGATGACTAGGGAGGGTCATAAAAACATTGCTTTGGCACATCTTAATATGAAATGGGCAAGTTCTCTGTCTGGCACAGAACCATTTGTCATCCTAGGTCCCGTTGCAGACACTATCCTTTTGTTCCGTGTTTGTGCAGCACTTAGCACAGTGGGGTCCTTGTCCAGGACTATTGCTCCTAGGTACCGCAGTGATACAAATAAATTAGTAGTAATATCATCTTCTCAGTACTTCATGCATGCTTGGTGTTGCCAAACCCAGCCAGTTGTAGAATATTGTGCATCACCAAGTTCAGCTGCATTTACATCTCCTCCTCTGCCCACATGGAAATCAATGCTCACACATTTGATTCAGGACAGCTGGCAACATATTGGTAGAATAGTCTCATCTGAGACAAACAGGCAATAGCATCACTGGGTCACAGAGGCAGTAAATGATTATGTTGGTTGCAGAAAAAAATATCATGAAGCCAAACACATTGGTGGATATAGTACTGTTGGTACAGGTAAATGGCTTCAGGCCATCCTGACACTCGTGAAGAGGAGTGAAGAACAGAAAAGTTCTTACCAATGATTTATAAGTCTCTCACAATGCTGCCATCTGGGCAGCTCTCCTCTCCCTATAGCTTCTCAGAAGTGGATCAGCATTTTGACTCTGCACAATGTAGCCAGGCTCATGCTGAGCCCTTTTGCCACTAGTTAAGTTAATCTCATGCTGTCAAACTTGCATAACATGATTACCAACGTATTCCAGAGACAAACAAACAACTATGTGCATTAGACCAAGGAAAAACAGCTCTATGATAATGATTCCACTTAATATTTGACTCTTGGTTCATGAGCCTTTTAGGGTAGGTGGAACTGTAGGAGGTGGGACTTGGCATCACCTGGCCTAGAGAGACTCTCTCCATGAGTAAGAGAGCAAAAGAGTAGTTCAGCATCCACCCTGCTTCTCTTGCTTCCTTAAGACTGCCAGTAAGGATAACTTCTGTTACTTGGTTAAAAGTCTCAGAGGGATAGCCGTGTTAGTCTGCAACTGAAAACACTTAAAAAACAACAAATGGTCCTGCAGCACCTTAGAGGCTAACAAAAAATGTGGATGGTATCATGAGCTTTCATGGACACAACCTGCTTCTTCAGGATTGGGTCCGTGAAAGCTCGTGATGCTTTCTACATTTTTTGTTAGTCTCTCAGGGCACGTCTACACAGTAGGGCTAAAGCTGAAATAAGCTATGCAACATGAACTATGTCAATTGTGTAGCTGAAGTTGAAATAGCTTCTTTTGGCTTTTGGCACTGTCTCCACAGCAGGAAGACTGAGAAAGAGCACTCTTCCTCTGACTTCCCTTAGTCCTCATGAAATGAGGGTTACAGGAGTCAGAGTATAAGAAGTCCTCCAGCTCAACATTATTTTGACATGTCAAAATAAACTGCTTGTAGTGCAGACAGGGACTATGTTATTTCCAAATAACTTCAATTATTCTGACATAACACTGCGGCGTAGATGTACCCTAAGGTGCTGCAGGACCAGTCATTGTTTTTTTTAATTTTGTCTGTTACATGGATTCAGCTCATTCCATATAATCCAAGTAGCTGTTAGATAATAACTTCAGTCCTATTACCAGAACCTGAGTTTGTTCCCTGGTGACAGAAGGATCTGTATGCCATCATGATGGCCCTGAATTATTCCATACCTAACTTTCCATCAGTACTTTCAGGACAGTATTAAAGGGTGGATCTCAAACTATTGTTAACATGAGCAGGGATCTGGCTATCTATGATGAGTGGGAAGCCATTGGTATACTACTTCCTAGACATCCAAAATTGTGGAAGAGACTAAGCAGCAGAATGAAGAATTTCTAAAGCAGTCACACTCAGAACTCAAAGGCTCAGGAATTAAATTAGTAATCAACATTATCCAAAAGAGCCACAGTAGTGTGAAGTCACTGTTTCATTATTACAGTGCTATTCTTATTTAAACAGTATAACAGGGGAAATAATTTAAACTTTTTATATAATTCTCACACAGCAAAATGACTAACCAAATATTATTTTATCAGATACACTAGTTAACATAGTAAATGCATCCTGATTGATTAATAACTTAGATCAAT